CCCGACTAATACGTATGTCTTCGTGCTCAATGCTTTGTTTTAGTTATTTGCTGCGTTCCGTTTCTCAGAATGCTTTTACAGATTATATCAATGCTATTGTTAATATAATATTTTATTGGAACATCCGGCGTTTAATCTGTGGCTCTCAGTTTGATTCCTAAAACTATAGAGTAATGGGAACCAGTGGTCCATTTATTATATAGAGAAAACATTGGTATTTTTGTATGTATTGAAATAACTCATAAACTTCTGGACCAATTATAATTCTTGCACTATTAAAAAGCTATGTTACTTAGCAATAAAGGCTGTTATTACATTAATCTTACTTACTAATATTATAAATGCGAAAGTTTACATGGATGGTTGGATGGATGGATGTTTGTTAGAGTTTGTAGCCTAAACAGATGAATGGATCTCGAAATTTGGCGTATACGTAGAGGGTGCCTGGAAGAACACATAGGCTACTGACTTTTGTTTTTTTTTTAATTCCACACGGACGGAGTCGCGGGCGAAAGCTAGTTTTTAATATTGTTGGGCATGAAAACAAGAGCAATGAGTGAATAAGTAACAAAAAAAAATTCTGTCTCACTTTTTACTTATCTGCTAACAAGAAAAATATAAAAATCATACCTGACCAATAAAATGTTATTTGACCCGATGGTTGCGTATTAGAGCTTTCCGGAAAATGTCAAAGTATAATAAGATTCTTGTCGGACTATATCAGATTTTAGATAAAGTAGGACAGTGTTTAACGTATATATGGAACATTAAAAAATACAGATTATTGTATGGTTAACAAACTATAAACTATGGCAATCTTGAATTATGACAAACCTTGGCAATCTTGCTTCTTTGATGTTGGCAGCAACTTATGGTCTCTTTCCCACATTAGGGATTTTATCCAAAATATTTACCCCCTAAGTTTAACGGCGTGAAAATATATGGCCTAAAGTGTGACGTAAGTGTAGGGTCTTATATTAAAAACAAAAGAATTATTCAAAAACATGCTGTAATTGATGACATTTTAGGCAACAAAAAAGTGTGTGTTTACGCTTTATTATAATATTATACAAGTATAGATATAGATTTTTGACCAACTTCCCAAAATAAAGAGGTAGTCAGTTCGTCTGTATGTTTTTATGTGTGTTACGACATAATTTAGGTTACAAATAAACTCAAAAACTAAGTAAATAGAGAAGTTAATATATTACTGAGCAACATAGGCTAAATTTATTATAAGATTTCTTTTAATTCTGTGTCGTCGGGGTTAATATAATTTTAACAGTGGTAGTGCCCGCTTTAACATCTTAGCACGAATGGGCCGGCACGCCCGGTGTAATACCACGACCACACAGAAGACAGGCGTGAAATGGAAGCAATTCCGTGTTTCGTCTGATGTGAGTGTGGTGCCGGAGGCCTAATTTAAGTCCCTTTCCCTTTACCACCCTTTTCTTACAAAGAGAGGTTGGGAAGAGGAAGTGGATTTGACGGTGGAGGAGATGCATAGGAAGGGGAAATATCCTCTTTATGTGCGTCTCCTCCTCCGTCGGATACGGGTAGGCAACGCATCTGCAATTGCGGATGTCTATGGGCAGCGGTCGCTTCGCCATTTTGGCGATTTCAGGTGGCCGCTTGCTCGTTTGCCACCTTATGTTATAAAAAAAAAAATAATAACTAATCTATACTGGTTGTAAAGACATAACTGAAAAACTACAGCACCAATTTTAAAAATTCTTTCCCTATTAAAAAGCTATGTTATCACTGAGTAATAGGTTATTACTATTTTTTCGGACAAAGTCGCAACAGCTAGTAAGCGACTTAATTAAACTTTCATAATGACGTATTAACACGTATATGAAAACATAATTGATATTAACTCGAATCCAGGAATTTCAATTTGATATACGTCAGTAGTATAAAGTACGCAGTACCCTGTGCAATTCGCGGTAGGGGTGGTAAGGGGTTGTAATGGAAGGGGTAGTCTGCCTCCCACCCTACTCTCGTGTAGGGAAAGCCCTTGCGAAAGTATTACGTAGGATTTAATTCCGAACAACGTAGCGTTTATTTTGTGCAATAGTTTCAAGTTTTGCGATTCACAATTGGTAAATATCGGGTTATAATTAGCTAAATAGGTAGGAAATCACAAAATATTACTAACTAGATTTGCCCGCGTCTCCGTCCGCGTGGAATGAAACCAAAACAAAAGTAAGTAGCCTATGTGTTCATTCAGACTGCTCTACATCTGTACAAAATTTCATCGAGATCCGTTCAGAATTTTAGGCTAGAAACTGTAACAAACATCTGTCCAAACTCTCGCATTTATATTATTAGTAAGAAGTTAGATTATCAAGATTAATAATCACTAAAGATTTCGTTGAAACTCTTTATTCTCGGACATGCAGAATTTTCAAATAACCATCTAGCTTGCAGCAATTATACAATCACGCCCGGAACCCGTACCTGTAACATGTAGGCAGAGACCACACGTTCATATAGCGGACTACCTCTCTTGTTTTTTACATACACACTTTTAAACAAGTGATATAATTGTAATTAGCGTGATGAACTTAAACACTAAGACCTCTGATCCCGCTATAATGGCGCGCTATTCCAATACGTCTAATGACATTGACAGCTGTCAGATAGGGACGGGATGTCTATGTCGATGGTCTCGTGTTGCGTCAACCCTCCAGTGCAGTACTAATTTCTTTTTTAACATGACTACCAGTTAAATGTGCTCTCAATTGGACTTGTTTTTTTTCTAATTAAATTACATCTTCGAATAATGTATTCTCGGGAATTGGACTAAAATTTAATTAACTTTAATTTTTTTTACAAACTGTCATAATAGGGTTAGCAGAAACCTATAATTTATTTTATAACATTAACAGTAAACAAAATATTAAATGTGACATTACTTTATTGTTTTGAAATAATGAATGACAGGCATGTTAATAGATATTTCGACAAATACTATGGTAACATTGGCCGAGCACCGTATCGAATTTACGTATAAATGGCAACCCGGTAATCTCGCAGCATACTTATACAGGGTTACAACACTTAAATTTTAGAAATGCGAAAGTTTGGATGGATAGATGTTTGTTTGTAGCGTAAACCGCTGAATGGATCTCGTTGAAATTTGTCATAGACTAGAGGATAGTCTGGAAGAACACGGACAAAGTCGAGGTCGAAAGCCTTTTATTATTACATTTTTTAACACGTGTATCACGAATTTTGTTGTATTTCCAAGATTGAGTCATATTTCTTGTTCTTATAATTTTGTGTTTGGGAGATCCCAAAAGCAACTGTTTTTAAATTATAAATTCTTTGTTACTCTTTCCTTATTACATTTGACGTAGAAACTATATACTTGCATTGTTATCGTTAAATAGAATGATTGGCATGCTATATAATAAAGGTAAACCAATGTCAAATAATCCCGACGGTTTAAGGAGGTCATTAAAATATGATAGTAACGTTATAAGGAGTTAACTGTACTTGGGTTTAATATTGCATTTTCTCAATTGTTTATTACTGTTAGTAATGACTGCATGTTTATGTATATATTGTAATGCCGTATTTAATTTAGTTTTAAAATACGTTGCAACTATTTATAATTAAAAGTAAATTGTATTTTAGAATTGCATACAACCTTTTAAAATAGATAATTAAATCCTCTTTGGTATAAAAGGATTTATTTGCAAGTGTAACAATGTCCATAAAATTAAGTTTGGCGCGGATCACGTGACATGGCGGGAGTGGCCGTCCGCCATTTTGGTATTCGGGCATTTGCCGCGCGTTTTATTTATAAAGTAATCCGTTGACTTTGATGAAAGATATTTATTGAAAAATAATTACGTTTATAAATATTAATTGCATTTGTTTAATTTTAATATTAATTATATTTATTTTTAAATGATTTTATAAGTAACTAATGTGTTTAAATAATCAAAATTAATCAATTAGAAATATTAACGTCTCCGTAATTTTAATTAATTTACTTAAATATAACTAGTAATATGTCTGACTATTTTTTAATTGAAAAAGAATATTTTACTACTAAATTGATATTAAATGCATGGTGTAGGAAATTGTTTCCTCGTAGGTATTCTATCGTCCAATTTAGTATGAGAAACTCCAAATCAAAAATGTGACTAAGCAAATCCGTTTTGTTAAATATGTTTCCAAGTTATTTCATGTTGAAATTCGTAGATTTCATAATCTTCGATAACAGATAACAAATAATCATAGCTTGTAATTCGATTTTTCGTTAAGATAAAAAAAAAATAGTAAAATAAAAGATATAGTTTTTTTATCTTGTGAGTCAAAAACAAACTGTTTATTTCGTCAAAATTAAATTAATATTTTGTTTCCAATTATCCGGATTAAAAATCCGTAACTTATTGAAATAATATACGTAACTTTGTTATTGAACAATCTCGGCCTTCAACTTGACCGAACGACCTCACATCTCAAAACGTGCGCTACAACTAATGTATCTCCAGTTATCCTACTGTTAAGGATAATCCTAAAATATTTCTACACTGTTTCCTTATAAAAGTTACCATTTTTATGTCCAACAAGCCGTCCACGTGCTTCTGCATCCGCATAAAATTATAAGGACTTTATTTTGTTTACATTTGTCGAATTTTCAATTGCAAATGTCAAAATTCAAATGCACAATTTAAGGCCTTTGATAACGGATAAGTTACCGTTACCATGGAAACCTTGCTTCGTTAATGTTGTCAGCTTGTAATTTTTGTCCCTTTTTCGTATGACGGTTATTTCCAAATTATTCACTAAATTAAATAGCGAGAAAATATATAACCTATAGCGTGTCGTTTGAGTAAGATTTTATATTAAAATAGTATTTTTAAACATGCCATTATTGCCGTGATCCTACATAACAAAGTGTGTTTATGCTTTATAACACAAGTGTACATAATACTTTTATGTTTATTTGTCTATTTCATATGTTATTTTTCTTTCATTTATAGGTAAAGAGGTACAGAAACGATGGCGGTCTATTCGCGATTCTTACACGAAGTCGTACCGGCAAGGCAAGTGCGCCCCAGAGCAGTGCCAGCCCGGCAGCCGTCGCTACCAGTACCACAAGCAGATGTCATTCTTACACCGCGCGCTGCAGAACAGGTCAGTATGCGGTACTGCTACGGACAGCGGGGGTTGCTATTTACATAAATAAAATAAATTAATAATTACATGAAAACAATTCGCATACGAGATTTGGGTCTATATTACAAAGATTAAAAAACCTCAATTAATTAACTTAAAAAAACTTAAAAAATAAAGTAACATTTAAATCTCTATACTATTGTTATAATGAGGAAAGATTTGTAATTTTGGATTTTTGTATGTATTGAAATAAGTCAAAAACAACTGGGTCGTTTGCAAAGATTATTTCATCATTAAAAAGCTACGTTATCATTGAGTAGCGTAGGCTATATTATTAATTTTAATTTCATGCGGACGATATCGCAGGCGACAACTAGTATACAATATCCATAGTAAAGATATGTCTTGATCACGTATTCAGATATTGTTCATTAATTCTTAAATATACTTATAAACATATTTTTACTTTCTAGGAAGCCACGATACTCTCAAGACAAATACGAATCTTACTCAGAAGTATCGAATTCCCCGCAACATCCGGCGCCGGATGAAATCATACCGAGGATCAAACACGAGGCCATAGACAAGCCTCTCGATCTCAAGACAAAACCGGACCCGCCAGAGAGACCGGAAACCGTAGACAAATGCAATCAAGCGACCATAGACAGTGATAAGAAGAGCCCTTCACTAGAAATCAAAATTGACGCGAATTCGATCCTGCCAGACGATCATTTCGACGATGATAAACTTTTTATGAACTCTCTTTTACCCCTTTTTAAAAAGATGGATGATGATACCCGTCTTTTATGCCGTATCGAAGTTTTGAAGATCATTAGATACGCTCTACAAGGGAATAAATGCTTTGAAGCCTTAAAAATGGCGGAAGATAGCTTCTTTAAGAATCGTATTAGTGGTTTATTAGCCAAAGAGGAGGTTATAGATACATCAGTTAACTCTACTAAGAATGGATTGTCGGAGTCCAAATTGTCTATGACCACTCGCTCTGCTGATGGCAGCCGACCTGTGAGGAAACGAAGAGTGAGTAGATTTCTTTTTTTATTGTTGCTGGCAATCAAAACTGTCAGTGACGTGACTTAAAAAACTTTTAACCATAAACATCTGACTAAATTGCAGACTAGTGTTGCCAGCCTTTATATAGAGAAAAAATAAGGGGAAAAAATTAAATACACTTAGTTGAATTCTATTTTCTTTATTTAATTATGTAAACGTAAAGTAACAATATTAATTTTTCTTTGCAGGCTCGTTCTCCATCTCCCTTACCGATACCACCCAAAAAGAGGGGTCCTGGTCGTCCTAGGAAGGTATTTATAGCTTTTTTGATACTTAAATGTGGTTAAAATCATTAAATTTTTGAATGAAATGTATTTAAAACGCACTTATTATTTATTAATAACATGAAAAAAGGTATTTATTTACATTTATTTTACAGGTCCGTCCCCCTCCATCCGACTCAGAAGAGGAACACACAGTACGGAAGCAGTATCCCAAGCTTAAAGTCCCACCCGTAGAGATCTCCCATCTCTCTGAGTACGATGAAACTTTAAACAGGGCTACGAGTGTCTCACAACTGCCTAAACCCATGTTTATGAGGGTAAGTACGTATTATTTTTGATTCACCGATATTACTTTTTAAATCTATTGTGATCTCAGTTTAATAACAGTTTTTTAACAGTGGTAGTGCCCGCTTTAACATGTTAGCACTACAGGGCACGCCCCCAGTAATACCACGACCACACAAAAGACAGGCGTTAAATGGAAGCAATGCCGTGTTTCGTCTGATGAGTGTGGGGCCGGAGGCCTAATTTAAGTTCCTTTCTCTTTACCACCCTTTTCTTATGGGAAGGGGAAGTGGATTTGACGATGGAGGAGATGCATAGGAAGAGGATATATCCTCTTTATATGCGTCTCCTCCTCCGTCGGATAAGGGTAGGCGACGCATCTGCAATTGCAGATGTCTATGGGCAGCGGTCCCTTCGCTATTTTGGCGGATTCAGGTGGCCGCTTGCTTTATTGCCATCATATGTTATAAAAAAAAAATAACGGCTATAGATTTTGTCATAGGGTATAGGGTTTTTGGTTACTTTCATTTAAGATTTCACTTATCACTAGTGAGGGGATAATCACAGTGGAAATATTGAATTGATAATGATAAGGGTTATTACAAAAATTAAGTTTTTATTTAATACATAAATAGTGGTAGTAAATAAAAATCATGGTGGTGAAAATGTCGCCTCTAACTTATTTCAAACTAGCTTTTGCCTGCCGTCCGCGTGAAATTAAAAAAAAAAAAAAAGCAAGTAGTCTATGTGTGCTTCCAGACTATAGCCTACATCTATGCCAAATTTCATCCAGATCCGTTCAGCCATTTAGGCTACAAACTCTAACAAACATCCATCCATCCAAACTTTCGCATTTATGTTATTAGCATGATTATATCACAAGTTTTAAATATATTATAAACAATATACTTTGTATCACTAAAAAATCTACTTTTTCTATAGATGTACAACCTGGAAAGATCAAAACCTACCCTGGCAGCACCACCTCAAGCAATGCAAGTCACCGTTAAATCGGAGCCCATAGACACGTTCGAGACACAGTGTAATATGTAAATGTCAAACGTGTGACAGCTGTCAAAAGTGTTACCATATGCAAAAACTTTTGAACTCTCGTGCCAGTTTCGCGGTTTTATATTGTATAGTGTTGGTACCATGTAATGTAGAAAATATGGACCAATTTAAATATTTGAATGTGATCCTTATGGACAGGGTGGTAAGGTTTACAATGCAAACGAAATTATTGACATATTAATGTCCAATGAATTATTATGTTTGATATGATTATTGTGAATCTTTAATTTTCTTTTTTTCAATTACAATGCATTAATTTACCGTTACTTTCGGTTTTCATTCTGTTTCTAATGTGGCAACATTGGAATTTTAAAAAATGGCCCTAATCCTTATTTGTACAGATAATAAAATGTATCATATGTTCCGTTAGTTTTTTGAATGTGGCGAGTGAAATGTGATAATTTTAATTAAGTTTTTTTTTATTTAATAAGTACAGTTATTATAATTTTTTAACGTCCATATTAAATGGTTTATGTTAAAAACTATGAATTATGTTTAAATCATTATGTTATGTATGTTGTTCCAAATGTTATTTCTTATGTCTTTTTGAAGTTAGAATAGTATGCAAATGGAAAGTCAATCGATATTAATTTATATTTAGTATGTGTCATTCGTAATAATTGTTTTAAAACTGTAGATGACATGAAAAATATTTACCTACAATAAATAAACCTGAATTTCAACTATGAGTCGTAATTTTTTTCGTTAATATGTCGAAGCGTACGAATTCAAATTATGTGTTATTAATCAATGTATATTAATATGTAAAAACATAAATAGTAAATGTAATAATTTTGTGTAAATGTAATAAAGCATTTTTAATTAATATTATGTAAATGTTATGAACAAGATAAAAAAAACTTTTTGGTGGAATGTTTTGTTTTTTTTTTTGTATGAAATGGCGTCCAAATTTTTTTAATCTCCGTTATTATAATACATTCCGTAATTACTAAGATAACCAATGGAATAAAATTGTTAATAGTCTACGTGAAATAAATGAATTTGTGACAAACGGTTTTTGCTTTTTCAAAGAATTGCTGTGTAGTACTAATAAGAATTATGTTTTCAAAAAATTACTCGTCTAATTTTTAATTGGGAGTAATTTTTGTGAATCAAATAGGCATAAAATACCCGTAAAACAAGTACCTCATAATTTAATTCGATACTTGATATACTCGACGTGTCAAATTAAATCTTACAACTTACTATTATTATATATGCGAAAGATTAGATGGATGGATGTTGGTTAGAGTTTGCCGCCAAAATGGCAGAACGGATATCGATGAAAGGCATAGATATAGAGCATAGTCAATTTTTTGAATCCGTCATAGAGTCGTAAATAAATACGAGTGGGTTATGTTAATAATTTTAACAATAAAAAACATTTTATTTACAAAATAAATTCAATTTGAATGGAGAATATCTTCTTGGGGTACTGAAAAAGCAAGCTCACTAAAGCTGAGTTTTAAGTTTTCTCTCTTCGGCGAACAAGTTAAAACTCCGACAAAATATTTATCAGCTTCAGGGTATGGGCAGAGTCGTAATAGGTTCCACACAATTTTGTCTGTTGAATATTTCACGCAAATAACACGATCCACTCTAGTAATGCGCATCCAAAATTTTCCAGGGTTGCCAGTAAATATACCTGGGAAGAATAAAAGTGCATTTAACTAGAACAGTAGAAGATTTAGTTATAGAAAAGTTAAATAACCGAAAAAAAAGGGGCATAACTTAGCCAGTACAGTTGGACAATTGCGATGGCCACTCATAAATTGAATGGACTTAATGGTGCGATTTAGTGTTCACACTATGCCAGTAAATTGCCAGTCTAGTTATCGAGTACTACAGACCTAGTGTAAACCGGGCATTAAATGAGAGACTAAACTACATAAATGCGTGGTTCACACTTGACCAATAGAGTCCGTACTGGATTAGCCATATAGCTAGAATAACAAATGCTACGGGCCACGCGAATTTAGGGGCTCTGCACTCACAGTCTGACAGTAATAAAAAAATGTTTAATCTATTACTCTAAACTGCCCTAAACTTGAGAACCTTAAGGAAACCAAGGGCTCCTTGATAAAAATTGCTACAATCCCCCGCTGGCTTATATCGGCACTGAGCAGAGTCGGCCAGTAGCGTTCATAAACTGCACTGTCAA